ATGGAAGCAGCAGTGAAGAAATCAAATGACGTATTGCATTCGGCAAATCTGCTGCAAAAGGCCTCTTCAAAGTGTTAAAAAGCAAACATGTCACTTTGAGGACTAAGGTGCACCTGAACCAAATCATAGTATTTTCAATCGCCTCATACACATGCCCACCACATGTCTGTCAGTTTGTTGTACGGTGGTGGCTTTCGTTTTGCTGTGATACTGGAAGCTTTGCCACTGGTATTTCAAATATGGTATTTCAAATACCAGCAAGGTCACTCTTGGTGGACAGGTTTCAACAGAGCTTCCAGACTAAGACAGACTAGGAAGAAGAACCTGGCAGTCTACTTCTAAAAAAACTGGCCAGTGAAAATCTTATGAAGAGCAGCAGAACATTGTCTGATATAGTGCCAGAAGATGAGTCCCTCAGGTTGGGAAAAAAAACCAAACCCATTGCTGTCAAGTCGATTCTGACCCATAGCAACCCTACAGGACAGACTAGAACTGCCCCATAGGGTTTCCAAGGAGGAGCTGGTGGATTCGAATTGTTAATCTTTTGGTTAGCAGTAGAGCTGTTAACCACTACACCATCAGGAAGGCACTCAAAATATGACTGGGAGAGAGCTGCCTCCTCAAAGTAGAGTCGACCTTAATGATGTGGATGGAGTCAAGCTTCTGGGACCTTCATTTCCTGATATGCATGACTCAAAATGAGAAGAAACAGCTGCAAACGTCCATTAATAACAGGAACATAGAATGTACGCAAATACGAATCCAGAAAAATTGGAAGTCGTCAAAAATGTAATGGAATGTGCAAAGATTGATATCCTAGGCATTAGTGAGCTGAAATGGACTGGAATTGGCCACTTTGAATGGATAATCATATGGTCTACTATGCCAGGAATGACAAATGGAAGAGGAATGCTGTCACATTCATCCTCAAAAAGAACATTTCAAGATCTATCCTGAAGTATAACACTGTCAGTGATAGGATAATATGCATACGCCTACAAGGAAAACCAGTACAACTATTATTCAAATTTACACACCAACCACTAAAACCAAAGATGAAGAAATTGAAGATTTTTACCAACTTTTACTGTCTGAAATTGATCAAACATGCTGTCAAGACACACTGATAATTACTGGCGATTGGAATGCGAAAGTTGGAAACAAAGAAGAAGGACTGGTAGTTAGAAAATATGGCCTTGGTGAAAGAAACGACGCTGGAGATCCCATGATACAATTTTGCAAGACCAATGACTTCTTCCTTGCAAATACTTTTTTTCAACAACATAAACAGCGACTATACATGTAGATGTTGGCAGATGGAATACACATGAATCAAATTGATTACATCTGTGGAAAGAAATGATGGAACAGCTTAATATCATCAGTCAGAACAAGTCCAGGGGCCAACTGTAGAACAGACCATCAATTACGTATATGCAAGCTGAAGCTGAAGAAAATTAGAATAAGTCCTCGAGAGCCAAAGTATGACCTTGAGTATATCCCACCTGAATTTACAGACCATCTCAAGAATAGATTTGATGCATTGAACACTAATGACTAATGACCAAAGACGAGACAAGTTGTGGAATGACATCAAGTACATCATACATGAAGAAAGCAACAGGTCATTAAAAAGAGAGGAAAAAAGAAAAGACCAAAATGGTTGTCAGAAGAGACTCTGAAACTTGCTCTTGGATGTAGAGTAGCTGAAGCAAATGGAAGAAATGATGAAGTAAAAGAGCTGAACAGAAGATTTCAAAGGGTGGCTCGAGAAGATAAAGTAAAGTATTAAAATGACATGTGCAAGACCTGGAGATAGAAAACCAAAAGGAAAGAACACACGTGGCATTTCTCAATCTGAAAGAACTGAAGAAAAAATTCAAGCTTTGAGTTGTGATACTGAAGGATTCTACGGAGAAAATATTAAACAAGGCAGGAAGCATCAAAAGAAGATGGAAGGAATACACAGAGTCACTGTACCAAAAAGAATTGGTCAACATTCAATAATTTCAGGAGGTAGCATATGATCAAGAACCACTGGTAATGAAAGAAGAGGTCCAAGCCAAGAAATTTGGAAGACAGCTACCTGGCCAACCAACTGGAAGAGATCCATATTTGTACCCATTCCAAAAAAAGGTGATCCAACAGAATGTGGAAATTAGCAAACAATACCATTAATATTACACACAAGTAAAATTCTGCTGAAGATCATTCAATAGCAGTTGCAGCAGTACATCAACAGGGAACTGCCAGAAATTCAAGCCGGATTCAGAAGAGGACGTGGAATGAGGGATATCATTGCTGATGTCAGATGGAGCCTGGTTGAAAGCGGAGAATACCAGAAAGATGTTTTCCTGTGTTTTATTGACTATGCAAAGGCATTAGACTATATGGATGATAACAAATTACAGATAACATCGCAAAGAATGGGAATTCCAGAACACTTAATTGTGCTCATGAGGAACCTGTACAAGAGGCAGTCATATGAACAGAATAAGGGGATACTGCGTGGTTTAAAATCAGAAAAGGTGTGCGTCGGGGTTGTATCCTTTCATGGTACTTATTCAATCTGTATGCTGAGCAACTAATCAGAGAAGCTAGACTATATGAAGAAGTAATGCGGAAGAGTCATTAACAACCTGCGATATGCAGATGACACAACCTTGCTTGCTGAAAGGAAGAGGACTTGAAGCACTTACTGATGAAGATCAAAGACTACAGCCTTCAATATGGATTACACCTCAACATAAAGAAAACGAAGATCCTCACAACTGGACCAATAAGCAACATCATGATAAATGGAGAAAAGATTGAAGTTGTCAAGGATTTCATTTTACTTGGATCCACAATCAACGCCCAAGGAAGCAGCAGTCAAGAAATCAAACAACGTATTGCACTGGGCAAATTCTGCTGCAAAAGACCTCTTTAAATTGTTAAAAAGCAAAGATGTCACTTTAAGGACTAAGGTTTTCCTGACCCAAGCCATGGTGTTTTCAATGGCCTCATATGCACGTGAAAGCTGGACAATGAATAAGGAAGACTGAAGAAGAATTGATGCCTTTGAATTATGGTGTTGGCAAAGAATACTGAATATACCATGGACTGCCAGAAGAACAAACAAGTCTGTCTTGGAACAAGTAGAGCCAGAATGCTCATGAGAAGCAAGGATGGTGAGACTTGGTCTTACATTCTTTGGACATGTTATCAGGAGGGATCAGTCCCTGGAGAAGGACATCATGCTTAGCAAAGTAGATGGTCAGCAAAAAAGAGGAAGTCCCTCAATGAGATGGACTGACACAGTGACTGCAACAATGGGCTCAAGCATAACAATGATAGTGAGGATGGTGCAGGACCAGGCAGTATTTCATTCTGTTGTACATAGATAGGGTTGCTATGAGTCGTAACCAACTCAACAGCACCTAACAAACAAAACATATGCATGCAAAAGCTGGACAGTGAATAAGGAAGACAATGAATAAGCATAACAATGATTATGAGGATGGTGCTGGACCTGGCAAAGTTTTGTTCTGTTGTACATGAGGTCGCTATGAGTTGGAGCTGACCTGACAACATCTAAAAACAAGGCTCTAGGCCAGGCTCTATTTCAAGGTGCTGAGGATTCGGCTGAGAACAAAATAAACATCCTTTCCTTCTTTGGGGCTTGCCTTGTAGTGGGGAGATAAACAATAAACAAGATAAAAAGTCTCTAATGATACATTAAGGAGAAAAAATAAAGCAGGAAAGGAGGACGTGAAGTGTGGGTGGAGGGGTAAAATTTGAGATAGAGTAGCAGGGGAAGAAATTTTAGGTAAGGTTGTTGTTGTTAGCTGCCATCAAGTCAGCCCCGACTCATGGCAACCCCTGACTGTTGAGATTCATAGAGTTTTCATTGGCTGATTTTCAGAAGTAGATCACCAGGCCTTTCTTCTAGTCCATCATAGTCTGGAAGCTCTGCTGAAACCTGTTCAACATCATAGCAACACGCAAGCCTGCACTGACAGAGGGGTGGTTGCTGCGCATGAGGTGCACTGGCCAGCAATCCAATCCAGGCCTTCAGCATGGATAGAGAGAATTCTTAGGTAGGGTAGCCAGGGAAAAAAGTGAAGGACGAGCCTTGAGGGTATCTGGGGGAAATGCATTCCAGGAGGCCAGTGTGACCTTGGCAGAAATGAAGGGAATGGAAACTGAGTAACACAGAGGAAATGAGGTCAGGGATGGTAAGGGGAGTCAGACTGTGGAGGACCATGTTAGTCAAAGTAAGGACTTTGGCTTTGGCGAAGTGTGAGACAGAAAGCCATTGGAGGATTTGCAAAGAGGAGCGCTATGATCTTTGTTAGGACAAAGGACAAGGGAAGAGAACAGTGAAACGGCTACTGCAATAACCTAGGCAGGAGATGATGGCTCCAGAAGACGAAAGGAGCAGGTCTGGGGTTGGAAGATAAAATTTCGGGTTTGGACAGTTACGTTGGAGAAGTAGGCAACTGGATATGGAAGTCTGGAGCTCAGGGGAAGGTCTGGACTGAGTGTTGGCAGTTGGAACTCAACATATTAGCAGTAATCTATTCATGGAGATAAAGCCATGGCTCTACCTTTTACTAGTAGCAAACTCTTGATTAAACCAATTTCTGGTTCTGGGCCTCAGTTTCTCCACCAGTATAGTGGGGAAAATATTCCCACATGACAGGGCATTCGTGAGAAAGAAAGAAAAGTGTCAAAGGCTGACCGTAAGCAAGGTGAGGACTCAGAGCCACAGGTCGCAAGTGCCCATCCCGTAGAGAGAGGCCGCTGTGGAACCCGACGCCGGCTTTCCTTTCGACTATCAACGTTCGCAGCTCCCAGTGCGGCACCAAAGAAAAAAAATCCCACAGTCAGCGCCGCGACGCGGGCTGCAGCGCCCAAACCTCGCGAGATTTGTTGGCCCGGCAAAGTCACCCTAGCCCCACATCTCGCGAGACCAAGGCGCTTGAGTGGCTCTCTGCTGGTTAGGGCTTGCGGGAAAGATGGAATATCCCGCGTTGGGCACCGTGGAGGCCGCGGACGGCGGAGGGGCCGGGCCGTACAACAGCTCGGAGGGGCGGGAGGGCCGGGGACCGGACGGGGCGCGCCGCGTATGGGAAGCGGTGTCCGGGGCCCAACCTGCGGGAAGGGAGGAAGGTGAGTCTGGGGGCCTCAGAGGCAGGAAGCCCCTCACCCGCCTGCTTGGCCCGCCCAGTGTGGCAGCAGCGCGGAGCCGACCGCGGACCAGCCTGGCGGGTCCACAGTCACACCCCCTGGTGCCCGGCCCGCCCCCTCGCGTGACGCGCCGGGTGACTCTGGGGCTCGTACTCCCCACCAGGGCCCGGGCACCGTGGGTCACCTTCCCCGACAATCAGGGCCGCGGCACCCCAAGAATCAGGCCCCCGCGCGCAAATTGTCAAGGACCTTGCCCAGCTTCTCACTCTCAGGCGACAGGTTTTGTCCCCGGCTTCTTCACCCACCGGAGCGCCGCCCTTCCCAAGCCATAGACCTTTCCCGCCAGACCAGCAGCGAAGCCGAGTACCCCTCACCATTTCTTCCTGAATCTCCACCATCCCAGTCCCCAGCACCCCGCCCCCCTTAGTGTGTCTCGTCTTTCTCTTCAAGCCCCAAACTTCCGAGGGCTCTGGAAGATCTCCGCTTTCCCCTCATGTTCTTTCTGGCCTTGGTGACAGACCTGGCTTACCCCTGTTTCTAGGTGTTCGGTGTCCACTACTGGTCCCTTTTCTCAGATGGGGGCCAGAAGCCTGAAAAACCGGCCTGGATTTGCTTTGGATCCAGCTTCTTTGTATCTCACAGCGCTTTGCAGCGTCAGCTAGGTAGTTCTAGCCCAGATGTACTCAAAGGGCTTCGGTGCAAATCCTGTCAGGTATCTGCAGGGAAATTAGATTTCTCTAATGGTTTGCTTGCTGAGCAGACTAATCTTAGAAAATTTAATGAATTGTTTGTGAACTGATTGCTCTAAGATAATAAATTTATGACCATATCCAAGGTAGGTATGTTTAAATTTGAGGTGGTACACAGAACCCTACCCTGGTGTATAATTCTTCAGTTTAAGAACAAGTTTAGTCTGACTACTGAATTAAGAAGTGTGCTATCTCTGTGTTCCCTCTCTCATGCTTTCAAACTTGTTTGGTGCAAAGTTGCTCCCCTCCCAATTTTCTTTTAATTTGACAAACATTCACTCATGCCCACTGTATTCCCAGCACTGGCTGGGCATCAGAGCTACAGAGACGAGGAAGGTGCTGTCCTTGCCCTCGGCAGGTTGCAGTCTAGTCCACCAAGCAGACACCAAAACAGTTTCAGGATAGCATAATTGGTGCAGTGAAGAGGAATGTCTAAGAGTTGTGGGTGCACAAACAGGAAATGACCTTTGGTCTAGGGGGAAAGGGAAGGCTTGCCCTCGACCTTGCAGCAGCTCTGAAGAGTGAACTGTCTGTGTATGTGTACATGAATGTACAGTGTTACTTATGACCTAGTTCATCTTTCTATTTATTCTCAATTCTCCCATATTTATATGAGGTCCAAGTAGATATCTGCGACACCAGTTTCTACTCACTTTGGTTGTTTTTTTAACAACTTTATTGCATTATAATTTATATACCATAAAATTCAACGTTGTAGTTGTACAATTCAGTGATTTTTAGTAAAAGTTTAGGGTTGTGTCACCATTACCTCAATCCAGTTTTAGAACATTTCCATCACTCCACATCACTCATTTGCAGTAAATTCCCACTCCCACCCCCTGCCTTAGGCAACCATTAACTTTTTTCCTGTGTCTGTAAATAATTTGCCTTTTTTGGACATTTCATATAAATGGAATCATACAACATGAAGTCTTTTGCATTTGGCATCTTCTACTTAGCATGTTTTTGAGGTTCATCTGAGTTGTAGCGTGTGTTAGTACTTCATTTCTTTTTATTGCTGAATAGAATTCCATTGTATGGATGGACCACATTTTGTTTATCCATTCGTTAGTTGATGGACATTTGGATTGTTTCCAGTTTGGTTGTATGACCCCTCACACCCTTTGCATCATCAGAGTCTAATTGTGTATAATTCTGGTATGTACATTCATGTACAACTTTTTGTTTGGACATACATTTTTATTTCTCTTGGGTGTATACCTAGGAGTGGGATTGCTGGTCATGTGGTAACTCTGTTTAACATTTTGAGGAACTGCCAAACTGCTCTGAAGTGAGGATGGTCCTGAGGATGCCAGAACTTGCAGCTGGTGCCTGAAGTTAGGGTAGTCTTATAGGGGCTGTTCTCTCAGACTTGGCAATTAGGCAGACTCCACTGCAGTTGTCTAAACTCACTGTAGTCATAATGATAAAAGGGTCAATACATCAGGAAGCTATAAAAATTATTAATATTAAATTTGTTAAAAATTGTTAATGGCATCACCAACAATGGATATGGGTTCCATTTTCTCTACATCCTCGCCAGTACTTACTATCTTTATCTTTTTTTATTATAGCCATTTTAGTGGGTGTGTAGTGATACCTCATTGGGATTTTAATCTGCATCTTTGTAAAGCCAACTGATATTGAGCCTCTTTTCATATGGTTTTTTCCTATTTATATATCTTTTTTGGTGAAAAATATATTCAGATCTTTTGCCCATTTTGTAATTGGGTTTTTTGTCTTCATATTTTTAAGTTGTAACAGTTCCTTATATACTTGAATACACGTCCTTTATTTGATATATGGTTTGCAGTTATTTTCTCCCCGACTGTGACTTTTTTTTTTTTTCATTTTCTAAATGGTGCCTTTTGAAGTGCAAAAGTTTTAAATTTTGATGAAATTCAGTTTATCAATTTTTTTTACCTTATAGATTATGCTTTTGGTGTCATATCTAAGAACTCTATCCTAACCTAAAGTCACTAAGATTTTCTCTTATGTTTTATTCTAGAAGTTTTATAGTTTTAGCTCTTACATTTAGGTTTATGAACCATTTTGAGGTAATTTCTGTGTAAGATATGAGGTAAGGGTCTAAATTTTTTTGCATTGGTTTATCCAGTTGTCCTGGTACCATTTGTTGAAAAAACTATTCTTTCCTTTGAAACCTCTGTTGAGAATCAATTGACCATAAATGTAAGGATTTATTTCTGAACTCTAAATTCTGTTGCATTGATCTTTATGCCTATTCTTGAGGCAATACCACAGCCTTGGTTCCTATGGCTTTACAGTAAGTTTTGAAATTGGTGGTTCAGTGGTAAAATTCTCACCTTCTGTGCAGGAGACTCTGGTTTAATTCCCAGCCAATGCACCTCACACACAGCTACCACCTGTCTCTCAGTCAGTGCAGGCTTGTGTGTTGCTATGATACTGAACAAGTTTCAGCAGAGCTTCCAGACTATGATGGACTAGGAAGAAAGGCCTGTTGATCTACTTCTGAAAATCGACCAACAAAAACCCTGTGGGTCACAACCATCTGATCCCCAACCGATCATGGGGATGATGCAGGACCTGAGAGGGTTTCATTCTGTTGTGCATGGAGTTGCCATGACAGCAGCTAACAACAGCAATATCCTATTAGGTCCTTTCATTTCCATGTAAATTTTAGGATCAGCTTGTTAGTTTCTATTTGGGGAAAAGACACTGAGATTTTGGTAGAGATTGCAGTGAATTTATAGATTAACTTTGAGAGAATTGCTATCGTGACGTTATTGAGTCTTCCATTCCATGAATGTGGAATGTCTGTCCATTTATTTGTTGTTGTGTTGTTGTGTGCTGTTGAGTCAATTCTGACTCATAGTGACCCTATAGGACAGAGTAGAACTGCCCCATAGGGTATCCAAAGAGCGGCTGGTGGATTCTAACTGCTGACCTTTTGGTTAGCAGCCAAGCTCTGAACCGCTCTGCCACCAGGTCTCTGACAATTTATTTAGATCTTTTTAATTTTTTCATTAATGTTTTTTAGTTTTCAGTGCAAATATTTCTTTTGTTGTTTATTCCTAAGTATTTTACTCTTTTTGATGCTGTTGTGAATATAATTATTTACTTAATTTCATTATCAGATTTTTCATTACTCGTATATAGAAATATAATTAATTTTTATATATTGATCTTGTTATCCTGAGGCTATACTAAACTTGTTTATTTTTGCTAGTGTGTGTATGTGTATTCTTTGGGATGTTCCACATATAAGATCATGTTATCTGTGAATAAAGACAGTTTTACTTCTTTCCAATCTGGATGGATTTTTTTGTTTTTGTTTTAGCCTTATTGCATTGGCGGGAACCTCCAACACAGTGGTGAATAGAAGTGGCAAGAGTAGATACTCTATCTCAGGAAAAAGCATTCAGTGTTTCACTATTGAATATGGTATTAGCTGTGGGCTTTTCATACATGCTTTTTATCAGGTTGAGGAAGTTCCCTTCAGTTCCCAATTTTGATAGCTTTTATGATGAATGAGTGTTGGATATTATCAAATGCTTTTTCTGTATCTAGTGAGGTGATCATGTGGTTTTGTCCTCTATTGTATTAATATGGTGTATTACTTTAATTGATTTTCACGTTAAACTAATTTTGCATGCTCCCCCTTGGTCATGTTGCTGGATTATTTGTTGCTGGATTTGATTTGCTAATAGTTTTTAAGGATTTTTACTTCCATGTTCACAAAGGATATTGGTCTGTAGTTTTTTTTGGTAGTAGTTGTTTATTTTTATGATGTCTTTGTCTGTCTTGAAGCCCTGGTGGCTCAGTGGTTAAGAGCTTGACTGCTAACCAAAAGGTCGACAGTTCAAATCCACCAGCTGCTCCTTGGAAACCCTATGGTGCAGTTCTACTCTGTCCTACAGGGTTACTATGAGTCAGAATCAACTTGATGGCAACAGGTTTTATCTGTCTTTGGTATCAGGGTAATACTGGCTTCATAGAATGATAGAATGAGTTTGGAAATGTTCCCTCTATTTTATGAAAGAATTTGTGAAGGATTAGTATTATTTCTTCTTAAAATATCTGACAGCAGTCACCAGTGAAGCTACTTGGGCCTGGATTTTCCTTTGTGGGAAGATGTTTAATTATTAATTCAATTTCTAATCTTGTTACAGGTATGTTCAGTTTTTTTGTGTTTTAGTTTTGATAATTTGTCTTTTTAGGAATATATCCATTTCTTCTAAATTATCTACTTTC